ATCAAGACATTTAGCGACGTCAAAGCGGATACGGTCGGCTGGAATTTTGGGAATTGTGCGGAGTGCCGCTTCCACATTTGAAACTATTTCTTCGGTAGGAATTCTGGAAGGAGTGATAGCAAAATTAAGACCTTTAGATAGAAGACTGCTTTCTGCACTTGTTAATTGGTGAGAAGAAAGATTAACGAGTTATTAGTCAGTTTCGATGTATCATCCCTATTTACCAATATTCCCATACATGACTCTCTAGTTGTTCTGCGAGATCACTTGACCAATGATAACAAGTCTTTGGTTTTGGCAGATCTTGCCGAAAAATGCCTCCTTTCAACATATTTTTCTTTTAGAGGCAATTTCTATAAACAAATATCTGGAACACCAATGGGTTCTCCCCTTTCCCCTGTCATTGCTGACATTTTCATGGAAGCCTTTGAGTCTTTGGCCCTAGAATCTTACCCCTTAAAACCAAAAGTCTGGTTCCGCTACGTTGATGATACATTTATCATCTGGCCCCATGGTCAGCATACCCTTTCTTCCTTCCTAGATCATCTTAACTCACAACATCCGAGTATAAAATTCACAATGGAAGTAGAAAATAATCGGTCCCTTCCCTTTCTCGATGTGTTAGTCACCTCCAAGCCCAATGGCCGATTGGGTCACTCTGTTTATAGAAAAAAGACTCACACGAATCGTTACCTACATGCTTCATCACACCACCATCCTGCCCAAAAGAATTCTGTGATCAACTCTCTCATCCATCGGGCCATTTCGATTTCTGAACCCGACAACCTTAGAGAAGAACTTGGCCATCTGCAAAAAACCCTTGTCGCCAATGGTTACTCCAAGTCCACAATTCAAAATATTACACACCGACATCTACATCCCCCTTTACACCCTAGGACAACAAATTCAGAATCTTCGGGTAATACTCCTGTGGCTTTTCTTCCGTATATTCGAAATGTCACTGATAGGATTCGCAAAATTCTTCGCAAAGAAGGTATCACGACTACTTTTCGATCACCCAAGAAAATCTCACAATATCTACCCTCTCCTAAGGACCCATTACCGCCCCTATCTTCCTGTGGTGTCTATTCTATTCCTTGTTCATGTGGACATGTGTATATTGGCGAAACTGGTCGTTCCGTCAAAACTCGGATTCAAGAGCATCAAAGATGCATTCGATCAGGTCTTTTCTCCCATTCTGCAGTTGCCGAACACTGCCAAGAAACCGGTCACTCCATATTGTTCGAAAAAACCCATATTATTTCTAAGAGCCCCTTCTTTTATTCCAGGAAAATCCGCGAATCTCTAGAGATCCGAAAAAATCCCCATAATATCAATCGAGAGGAAGGATACTACTTGTCTCCCATCTGGAATCTCAGTCTAGAGCCACCATCCGGTCCCGCCACCACATGATTGGCCAGCGCGCGCTTCTTGACGTTCGCGCCACGAAGTGTGCCGATACGTCCCGACACGACAGGCACCGCGACTATAAATAGAGCGGTAGCGGAGTAATCGTCGGATTCACTCCCCGCCTCTCGACGCGTTAGTGTTCTGAGCTGTTGGACGTGAATCCCTGTCCTGGCATTTGGTTTTCACCTCTGGCTGCGTTGAGTAGTTGAGTTACTGTGACCAATTGCCCATCTTGGTAGTTAGTATTCGCCTCTGGTTGCGTTGAGTAACTGAGTTACCGTTGCTAACTACCCATCTTCCTGTTCTTTTGTTTTCTTTTTTCTTTTTTCTTTTTCTTTGTTTCTCCTGAAGAAGCTACATATAATTGTAGCGAAACGTCGAGATGAACCCACTTTTGGGTCACTCACAAATGACACGGTCCAAACCCGGAAGACGAATAAACTATAATACCTTTTTGGTCTCATAGTGAGCCGATTAACCTAAATAGACTTGTTCTGAACAAAAGAAATTAAATTTTGCAATTTATTTAAAAAATATTGTTTCAACAATGTTTGACCATCATTTTCTCTGTGCAAGATGCACTTTTGTTCTAAGGGGACTGTTTCAAGTAAGACAAAAATATGGAATGATAATATTTTTCCTAACCAGTGTGCCCATACTATTCGGAGTAAAATATCGTGTAACGATTTTACTATCTTTATTTACAATCTCTTAATTTGTTATTAAAATGAGCTAACACTTAATTTATTTATTTACACTATATAACTTATTACAGTCTTTTACACATATTTTAATTGACAAAAAGAAACACCATATTAATTTATTTTACAGCTTACGCGATACAATGTCCGAGATCTCCAAAGTCGAAAAAGGAGTTATACAGGGTTGCATATTATCACCGGCATTATTTAACATATACTCGGAAAACATCTTTAGATGGGCCTTGGACTAATCAGAAGATGGGATTGCTGTAAATGGTCAACTTATAAACAACATTAGATATGCAGATGATACAGTGTTGTTGGCAGATAGTGCGCAGGGGCTCCAAAGGATGATGGATAACATTGTAGAAGCATGTAACAAATACGGCCTAAAACTCAATTGCAAGAAGGCAAAAATAATGATCATTAGTAAGAACACAGGCATAAACGCCCAAATTACAATTAACGATACATCGTTAGAAAGAATGGAAAAAATATGCTATTTGGGCTGCAATATTAAGGATACTTGGGATCACAGGTTACGAAATAAAAACTCGTATTGAAAAAGCCAGAAGCTCTTTCAACAGCCTCAGGAAGATTATCTGCAACTTATCTTTAAGTATTAATATACGCATAAGAATTCTTAGATGTTACGTCTTTAGTGTCCTCTATGGAGTAGAAAGCTGGAGCCTTACAAAAGATGCCATAAAACGACTGGAGGCATTTGAAATATGGTGCTACCGACGTATGTTGAGGGCCTCATATATTCATCACATAAGTAACATAACTATTCTCCAGAGGCTAAGAAAAGACAAAGAAATTATTAACATCATAAAAAACAGAAAATTGGCTCACTTCGGCCACATCAAGCGTAATGATAAATACCGACTTCTACAGTTGATTCTACAGGGTAAGATTGAGGGTAAGAGAGGCCCTGAGCATAGACGTATATCCTGACTGGCCAATCTTAGTCAATGTGGTCGCCAACGTCTCTAGAAGATAGGCACATTTATAAGAAGAAGCGATACAGTAGTTTATTTTAGACTAAACTTAAAAATCTAACTTATTTGTATTTATATGGTTCAGCTCCGCATCGAAACTTCGCTGGAATTTTCTACCGATACCTCCACGTAACGGTATAGTTCTCTTGAAACTTCATCTGAACCCTCTGAATATCGGTTCTTGTCTCGATTTTCGGCCAGTTACTGGCGACGTGGCATCTGCGTCCGATTGCTAGGTTAGTAACCAATGACGTATAATATATAGACTCGGTGAACGCTTTAAAAAGTGTCCAAAAAATGAATACCTTTGTTACTGTTTATTGTTTTGATACGAAGATGCACGAAGTTCATGATTTCTTACGAAGCATCACGAAGTTGATCTTGTGTTTGAAAACATCATGCACGTATGAAAACATTTTCTCCATTTTGTGTGTTTACATATTTTATGTGACAAGCAAATTTTATTTTAAATTGTTGAGAGTTATTTACTTACTATTTTAGTAAAAGGCCATGCTATTTTATAAAAATAATGTTTTCTCTTATAGACGGGAACAAAAAAAAATTGTAAATATTTAATTTTAATTAAAAAAAATAATTATTGTCATTAAAATATAAATAAGCATGCCGCTGTTCTCGTAAACATACCTTCAACCTTGAGCAAAGATCTTTCGGACACCCGATTATATTGGCGACGTGCAAGTACTTGGATGTGATACCATGATACTAAGAATACATGTGATACGAGAAACGATCGTGCGCGAGTAGCGGAGAAATCTTGCATTTTTTACTGCACATTTCATAGATTTCATAAATTCATATTGTCAATTGTCATATTTCATACTCGTTTGTTTATTTACACCTTCTGTCACTGAAGAAAATGGGATATTATAAATGCTGTGTTATAAATTGTAAAAATACAACAAAAAATTGTCAATTTAAGGTTTATTCGTTTCCAACTTCGAAACACAAATTACTACAAAGAGAAAAGTGGATTTATATCATAAAAAAGCATAAATAACATAACCTAAATTAGGATGCATTAAGATATATTATATTCGCTGTCCAAAAGTTTACAGGGAAAGAATTAATTGTTCAAACCAATATGATGATATCATGGGCTTAACCTGCTAATTTATGCATTAGCATTATTTATGGTAATTTATTTTTCTTAATTCTTCCACATAATTCTTCCATTCTTTTTTTGACATTTGCCACTACTAAAGCTTTTCCCTTTGACTCAGTGCTTGGTTGAAAAGTTATTTGGTGATTTACTTTCTCAAATCCAGTTTTTATTATTGCATCCATATAAACAGTAATGCTGTAATTTAATAATATATTTATTTGTATTTACACTACATACAACGTTCACCTTTTAATAACATACCGACATAACCTCAATCTTAGTTTTTCTTCTTATTCTTTTTTGGGACTACGTCCTTGACAGTTATCCGGTAACCTCGATCTAACATGAAAGCGCAGTAAATTTTGCTGATTTACGACACCAGGTGTCGCTGTTCCGAACTTGCACGGTCCCAATAGCGAGAACAGGGGACTGCTCAGTCTATATATTATACGTCATTGTTAGTAACACTAGGCAGTGGCGTAACAATCATTTACTTCGCCTATGGGAAGGATGTGTGAGACCATATAAAGTACGGCAATTAGTAGATGGTATATCTATTAGATATGTATCATAAGTAGATACTAGGAAGTAAAGTGATTCCATATTGAAACGGTTAATTGTAGAGCTGAGATGTTTTACCTTGGGTACTTTTAGACTTATTACTTTTTCACTTATTAACACCGGCTTCCAAATTGATTTCTTTTAATATTTTTGTTATTTCTTTTAAGCACATTGATTTATTATATTCTTAATCTTTTATTTTAGGCTTTTTTAGCAGAGATGGTAGTAGTCATGGAAGTAATAGCGGGATGGGGTATGTGGAGTTTGGAACATTCTCTGAAGAATCTAGCACTAGGACTTTGGGAACATTTGCAGGAGTGTTTTCTCCAGTGACTTTGTCCATGTTTTCAGCGCTTATATTTCTGCGAATGGGTAACTATCTCCTTGTAAATAAAATAAAATAAAACAAAATATATCAATTAACTAATATAAAAATAAAAATGTTGATTTTATACTATGGATATCAATTATTGTGCTATTTAAATTAAGAATCACACTAATTGCTTAAGATTGTTAGACAGTATCTTTATAGCAGTTTGTACATTGTTTTTTGAGCTTATAGGCATTTCGTCTGAAACTACGGCAAACATAATCAGATGCGATGCGGCAACGTCCCAAACTGTCATCTGCTCACTGATGAATGAGACAGTTACGCCCATTGTTGGATCACCTTTGTAGTTGCAGTTACATACGAAACATTAGAAAGAAATAATTTCAGAACACGGCCTATAAACTGCGAAAACAGTGTACCGTTAGAAAATGCCTGCCACAAAAGTTTACACTACTTGATTGATTACTTGTGTTTTATTTCAGGATACATTGTAGGAAACGCAGGTTTGCTGGTGACGTTGACCCAGTTCGCAATCGCATATGGTATTTTAGTTTTTACTGTCATGTCAATTTGTGCTATATCTACAAATGGAGCTGTTGAAGGAGGCGGTGCATATTGTAAGTCTTAACCTTTGAAACTCACATATACGTTACGAAAAGGAAATCAAAAGAACTTTATCAAATAGCGCTTTATTGTGTCATTTTAGCCTCTTCCGCATAATGTTTTATGTCAGAAACAGAAACTTATACTCAGTTTTTTAAAATGTTGGTGTTATTAAAATTACATTTAAAAATTATCATAGAGCAAAAAGCAAAATTGATCTAGTGTTATCAGTATAGATAAGAAAATATATTCAAGTGACAGTATGTAATTTCAGGGTTGATTTCATTGTGTTGATTTTCGGAAAGAACTGTTTTCACTGTCTTTTGAAAAATTCTATGCAACGCTGGTAGATAATTAAGCTGTTCAGCGTGTTGACGGTTATTTAGGTTTATTATGCGTTGTTTTATTTTATACAAATGAATAACATTTCAAACAATTTCAGTTTTACCTAAATTTTAATTATAAATTTGATATTACATGTAGGTTAGATTATGCTCAGTATGAGTGGGAGCTTAACCACCTTTCCACTCGGTCTAAAAGCTCTATTGTTTCTTATCCTTAGGTGAGTGCTGTGCTTTCAGCCTAACCGTTTTAATCCTCAAATGTATTAGGCCTTATCCTAACTAATCCAGGACACTTGTCAAAATCCGTTTTTATTCATTTGCCCGTTGAGGCGACAGTGTCCTGTTAGAAGACCTACGATCATGGGCAGATCATTCGTATTCATGTCTAGTAGATATTTGGATTTCTTCGTCGAAGTTTCATGTATAAAAGTCTTCGAATGTTTAAGACCCATTTGTTCATACCAGTGGTTACATTTTACGTATTTGGTTATGCAATGTTAGTCCCATTACTATTGTTCATATTACTTATTCTACTTACATCAACTTCAAAGTTTCTTCTTCCTCTACTGCTTCACCTGGTTCTTCTCTGCGCCTTCTTCAAGGATTCTTTTATGGTTGTTACTTCTCGTATCCTGGTCCATTATTTTGTCTCTTATTTCTTGCTTCTGCACATCTCTTATTGATTCGATTAGTTTTTTGGAGATTGTGGTTTTTCAATTTTTTGTTCAATCTCTGTTTCGCTTACCATCAGTTTGTTGAATTCGATTCTTACGTTGTTTCCTTTGTCTTCTGCGGCTGTTGCCAGCTATCTTATTTATGCTTGTATTTTTAACTCTAATGGAATCGTTATTGATGAATATCTGGTAATTTATGAACACGCTAAACACACACAAACATTTTCTTGTCTTTTAAACCATTAACAAACAAACTTTTTTTTAGTTATGATAAGCAGAACACTGGGACCTGAGTTTGGGGGATCAATCGGTACATTATTTTTCTTTGCAAACATTGTTAGCAGTGCTCTTTATATATCTGGTTGCGTTGAAGGTTTGATAGAGTTTTTTGGACCATCAGGTTAGTATTATTTTAATCTGTACAAATATTGATAATTTAAAATTTCTAAACCTTGTAACGTAAATTAAACCCAGATGGGAAGAATGCTCAGAAGTTGGGTAATACTGTGGGTAACGTAAAAAGTAGCCCAATGAAAAGTTTAACCTTGGAATTTAAGATTCACTATACGAAGGCTCTCAATATTTGGAAGAACACAACAGCAGGGTTGGGACGTTGGTCTACAGATCGCTTAACGGGAAATACTGAAAGCTGAAAGAAAGTAAAAAATAGAATCATACTAACTGAAAAAAAAAATCGACAAAAAAATAGAACTGAATAAAAAGGAAAAAGGACCTTATCTTTTTATTGAGTGACAAGGAAAATTCGGAATCCTATATGTTAGATATACGGGTATGGAAAAAAATTATCTGACTATAGAGCATTAAGACAACGCAACGAATTGAGAAAAATATTTTTTTAGACTTGTATGTCCAAGAGAATATCTGTGATAGACCCGTAAGCACTATGGACAGTCTTGTCTGTACATTGTTGCCAAAAGAAAGTTTATTTTTTAAATATACTGGGGAAATATTTCAACGATGTGGTTAAAAAATTTAAAAGCAGGTTCATATCTTAGATTAAATCAACAGTTTCTTTAATATCAATTCATAAAAAATAACTAAATATAACATAAATAATTAATTATTAACGGCATAAATTAAAACAAGTTATTCTAAAAAATAACAATTTTATAATTTTAATTAAAACTGTTTTAAATTAAATTTTCAAAAAGACCACTACCTTAAGCCAAGCAGTAGCCCAATTTATTGTATAATTGCCTCGGGAGTTCGACAACATTTCGGGTGTTATGCTTTGAAAGGCCTGAGTGATTTTTTGACCTAATTCGTCTAAATTTTCGGCACTTCATGTCATGTCGGTAAATTTTTTGTTTCACATAAGCCTATGCGAAAACGTCCAAAGGTGCAGGATCAGGAGATCGGGGTGGTATTTTTATGGTACCCTTTGTACCAATAACTTTATCTTATGATACAGTTATCTTGATCTTATGAAACGTAATTTTTAAAAAATCTAACACATTCTGTGCCTTGTGAGCTGGAAAGCCGTCTTGCTGCAATCAAATTTCATCCAAATTAATAGGTAATGCTCGAACTGCTGGATATCTTATGATATCTCGGTATTTACGACGACACAAAGTGCCCACAATGAAAAAAGGGCCAATTACGTTGTCACCTAAAATATCAGTTCACTTTTCAGACGTTAACTTTTTGACGGTATTGTGTTTTGTAAGGAACAGTTATGTGTCTATTTTCTGTAGAGTACCCTACGGTAACAGATGGATTGTGATGGCCAGTTAAAGAAAAATAAGACTCGCCAGTAAACGATTTTTTGATGAAAAATTTTTTTCATGAAATCTTCGTCACGATTGGTGAGTTACATCATATCCTTACAAAATACCATTCGTCGTTCATAATCAGTAGGAAAAATTTCCTGAGTTTTTTGCATTTAGTAGAAATGGTACTTGTTTCTTTTTAAAATATTTCGTACAGTTCTAGCACTAATACCAGTTTCTTTTGAAATTAGGGTGCTGTTACAAGGAAAATTGATTTCAGCTAGACTACATATGGCAGTTTCACGCTGTTCCCGTTCTTTATTAATTGCACGAGCTGGTTGATTTTTATCTTCATCACTATTCGTGCATTTTCTACAATTCTTGACACAACCAGTTTTTTCAAATTTAAAAATAATGTTGTCAATTGTAGATTTTGTTGGTACAAGGTTTTCAAATGAAAACGAAAACCTACCGATTACATAGTCGGCACTATTTCCAGAATAATGCATTTAATAATTTGAATTTTATGTTCAGTTGTAAAGGTTACCATTTTCCTGACATATGAATGACATATGAATTGACATATCAATTTCTTTATTCTGTTTTTTTTTCGAATCAAACCAGAATTATTAGTAATGAAAAAATAAACGTATATTTGATGTTTCCGTTATCAAAACTGAATGTCACTTTCGAAAAACTTAGAATCAAATCTAATGGATGTTAAGCAAGCTCGTATGTCGGTACTAATTTCATACTTTATTCGGTCTCTCTCTTGGCAGAACAACCTCATACTGTTCTTTTCGTACTAATTATGCGTGCTACATGCAGTTTTCAGATTACCACAACTGTATATGTTAGAAAATTGGCTTAAGAAAGAATAAAAAAATATGACAATATGCTTTCTCACTGCTACCTCTCTTTAAAACTAATATACACATATTATATAGCCAAAAGACAAAAAACAATCACACTTACGACTTATATGGTCATTCAGAAAACGTATTAGAATTTATTTATATATGGTCCAAGAAAAAGGAAGATTGTCAGAGAAATTAAAAATAAAAAGTTGTTACCTACTATAAGTATACTTATAGTTGTATTTATCACTAACTAAATCATAAAATCAATCACTGAACTAAACGGGTATGGCGTGATCGTCACATTACTATGTGAACATGTGGTGTCCACTATAAATGTGGACATGGAGACGACTGCTTTGAATTCCATGGATGGCTCGCCGCACGAATGCCTCGGTTCTAGATGAAATTAAACCCAATCAGCCTCTCTCTAGTAATGTTTACTCTCGAATTTTAAAGTTCTTTGGTCATATCCATCGAAGTGATCACAAAATGGAGCGGTTGGTGGTATACTGAGGCAGTACATGTAACATATGACCGCGACCAGTTCAGAAATATTATTAATCAACCGATCCGAGATGCTGAAACTCAATGATGAACCACAACACATCTGCTAAGATGTTAATGACTATGATCATGATGAAATAATAAAAACTCAGTTTAACTGAGTTCAAACAGAAGTATCCATTACAATTATCTTCTTATTGTGACGTCTTCTAACGAAGGTTGGCGATCACTTCTTTAAACGCCTCCCTATCTTTTGCAACGGGAAATATCTGTTTAACACAGAGGTTAGTACAATCTCTGATAATCCTCAGCCAAGATTTCTTCTTTCTTCCCTCCATTCTTTCGTGCATGATGACGTGTAGAAGAGTGTATTTATCGTTTAGAAGTATGTGGCCCAGATACGATGTTTTTCTTATTTTTATTGTGTTCATAAGCTTTCTGCCGTGTCCAATTAATCTTAACACTTCTTCGTTTAAGATTTGTGCAGTCCAAGGAATTTTAAGAATACACCTATATGACCACATTTCGAATGCCTCCAATTTTTTTACAGATTAGACTTTCAGAGTCCAAGCTTCTACCTCATATAGCAGTTGCGGCCATACATAACATTTGACGCACCTCAATTCGATAACCATACTCAATTGTTTATTGTAGACATTGAATTGTATTTTATAAATCCTTTTCGAGCTATTTCAATTCTGATCTTTATCTCCTTATCTTGATCTAACTGTGGGTTTATAATTGCTCCGAGGTATTTATACTTGTCGACCTCTCTAACGGTTTACCCTCTAATGTCAGATATATGTTGTCAACAGGGGCTTTCGAGATCACCATGTACTTGGTTTTATCTATATTCATTGTTAGTCCCATCTTTTTGCTTTCTCTGTTAATGATTATAAGAATTTGTAAATCGTCTATATTATCTGTGTGATTGCGGTATCGTCTGCAAATCTTATGTTGTTAATGATGATCTCTTCAATCCTTACACCTTCAGTTCTTTACCTTAGTTCCTCCTTAAATATTAGTTGAGAGTACACATTAAATAATTGTGGCGACAGCACACATCCCCGTCTGACTTCTCTTTGAATTTCTACTTGGTTTCTCTCACTATCTTACGCCCTTACGACCGCTGTTTGATTTTAGTATAGATGTTTGATTAAATTAATATCCTTGGAATCTAGGTGTATGTGTGTCAATGCAGGTATGAGTTTACCATGTTGAACTCTGTCGAAACGCTTTTTGAAAATCTATATAACATGAATACGTTTTTATTATATTCTATGCATTGTTGTAATAGTACCGTCATTCCCCCTTCCTTTCTTTTTCAAAAAAAAAACTGGATATCTTTTGAGTACATTACTAGGCACAAATAAAATAAATTAAATTAAAATAAGATAAAATAAATAGAAAAAAATCAAATAAAATACAACAAAGTTAAATTAAATAATAATAAAATAAAATCAAATCAAATAAATTAAAATAAAATAAAAATGTGGCACTTCGGGAGTAACCGAGAAGGAAAAGCATAGCTTTCTTATTGTCTAGGCACCAAGCGATGTTTTTTAATTTATTTTATTTCATTTTATTTTATTGTTTTATTTTAATTTTATTAAGTAATACTCTTTCTCTGCGTTTACTACTTTACGTAGTGTGTGGTCGCGCAGTTATCGTTACATTGCGTTTTAGTTGTTTTTATTTTTGCAGAGCTCTGCGCGATTAACCCCACATATCAATGCATTACGTCCGTAGCCCGCGATAAGAAAGCTATCTTTCCAATAAATTAAAATAAAATATATTCATTTAAATAGAATAAAATTAAAAACTATCACTCCATGCGTAGACAATAAGAAAGCTATGCTTCCTCTCCTCGGTTACTCCCGGGGTGCCACATTTCGTTTTTTTTTTTAATTGGAAATGGGGAAAAAATACCTATCAGTTTAATTTTTTTTGTCTCATTCATAATGAAAATTCAGACATTTATACATTTTAAAGTAGAGGACCTACGTCTGATATACGTCAATATATTAAATCTACACCAAAATGTGTACAGAAAAGATTATTAGGAAACATGCTTGAACTGTTGCATGTGAATAAAGTTGGCTTCCGTAATAAACAATACAGTTACAGTAAAATTAGGAATGTTTGTAATTTTTTATTTATCCAGTACTTATTAGGTAACAAAGTCTAAGCACGTTAAATATTAAATGGATACAATAAATTTTCTTTTGTGGTGTTTCAAAAGGTTTTTTAATTTAATTAAACTTTCTGGTATCACTGATTTATGACCTCATTGAATCATTTCTATGATGTGCAACGATAGTTATTTTGCTCTTATTTTATGAGATTGTTTTACTTTCTTTGTAAATTGAAATTATATTTTTTAGGTTATTTGGTACCTGGTATTATTCAGAAAGGTAGATGGTACGGATTCCTCTATGGAACTTTATTGAATATTCTAAATCTCTTCATATGCCTCATTGGAGCTTCGATGTTTGCAAAGACTTCTCTATTTATATTGGTGCTGGTGTGCAGCTGCTTGGGAATTACATTTTTCAGTTTTTTCTATGAAGGCTTTTTGGAGGTTTGTTGAACATTATTATTTATTAAAATATATATTGAATATATACTCTAATTTATCGAGTATATCAAAATCTGCTATATTAGTTCTAAAAACATTTAACAATTAACAAAAAATACCTACCATAATGTTTTACTCATTAACTGTCTTTCAATTACTGTACGCTTTAATGGTAATTGTATTTGTTGACTTGATGTTTTTATGCAGCATCTTGTAACATGTTCTGGTATTCGATGTACTCTACCTTTCGGTTCTTTATTATTGTCTTTATATATCGGACTTTTACTTCCTTTATTCTATTTACAGCATATAAAAACTCACTACATATAGAGAACGTAACGAATCTATAGATTTACCACTATCAAAATGTCACAAAGCATCTGAAATACTCTGAAGTCGTTTCAGATAGGAACAGGAGAATACTCAGCTCAATTGATGTTAATTTCGTGGATAGGAACGGGATTACAATCAACTAAACATGCTGTAGACGTTATAGATAGGAAATAGGGACCCTTCTTAGCCATGATTACAAGCCCAGGTCATGCTGCAGAGAAGTTATTATACTTTATCTAATTTACTTACCGTTGCACGTCATAGCCCGTGAGGTCACATGATACCAACACGAAATATTTAGGCGGTAGGTGTGTTCTTTTTTAGAATTACTTTGCCGAGTACACTGGCATTAAAGCCACTAGACATATTTTATTATATACGCGTAGAAATAATATTTAAAGATTTCTATTAATGTTAACTTAAAGAAATACAAATTAATATGTTTCATTTAATTTGTATAAATGCATTATAAAGCGTTTTTATGAAGAACGTTTGTTTGGAACACACTGTAACTGTAATCAAACGAAGGTGCTATTTTGGCATAAATTGGTAACACTTATTTGACAGTTGCGGTGTTGACACGGTGTTGAAAAAAGTGTTGTTTTTGTTTAAGTATTCTATTTTACATCTTGATACGACGCATACAAGCGGCTCAAATTGTTTTTAACAAGAATATTTTTAACTGTTTTGTTTCTATTTATTTACAATAAATATTAATTTGTTTTGTTGTTTAATCCAATTTTGCAGTAATTATGTGACCTATTTGATTTAAAATGGATTCAGGATTTTTTTATACTTTGGCAACTATGTCAATTTCAATCTCTGTCACTGATAATGACGTGCAACGGTAAGTAAATTAGATGTAGTATATGTAAGTATGAGACGAATAGTCTCGCTCAGTACCCCAAACACTATGACGTCATGTTTAGATTCGGAAGACAGTAGTTCTAGCTCAATCTGCTGTAAGGTTCCGTCTCCGCATCGACAAGTTCGTTATCAATCAGTCGCAATGTATCCACTTACACACACTCGTAAGATGTTAGTGTGTACCAACTGCAACCGCCATTACACCGGTCCCTTCTATCAACTTTCTGTGAAAATTTTATACTTAAGGCTGTTTTAGCAGTTAAAGCACACTGCGATTTGAAATGAGCCTATCACTTACTTTTCTACACTGCTTACGTCAGACCATCTTTACTCAGTGGCGCCGTTCGACGGGTAGTTTAATGACAACAAATGCATTATTCTTCATTCAAATTAGTTTTAACATGAACTAACTGACCGTACGTTCATGAGATTTGACGTCACGAAGGCGATAACTATGAAACTAAGCGCCAATGATGAGTAACACGTTTCACTATTAGATTTTAGTATTTTTTAGCAATTTTCTTTTAAAGTTGAAACACGTTTTTCTCGATTATTACTGGGCACAGAAAGCTGAAAAAAAAATCAACGGTTACAGAAAAAAAACTCTTTCAAGTTATGGGCGTAAAAAGTTTGGTTATAATGGAACGTTAAACAGTATCCAATTTTTCAACAGAAGGTTCAAAAAAATAAAAAAAAAAGTAAAACTATCATTTTAAAGGCAACATAATTTCGAATAACGTGTTCAAATTTCGAGACATTTTGTCGGTAAATAACAGAGAAAACACTGTCCCTAGGTTTTGGTCCACCGATAAAACAGCCTTAAATAGTGGGATAATGTCTGTGAAAAGGCAATTATTTGCGACCTATTAGCTATTTCTCGAATGATTTGTCACAAGATGAGTCTATTTTGAATAACATTTTACAATTTCTGGTGTTTTCGTGCTATCTACAATTTTTCTCGAACACCTTCCTTATCATTCATCTTCCTTATGTTTTTTTTTTCACCTTTTTCTTTCATCGTATTTTCTGGATAACTCTTTATTTTTGCAAGTAGTTATTCATTTATTTTTATATTTCATGTTGCCATAATCTTGCAATATTTTCCCTTTGTTATTTTAGATTTTATTTTTCTTACTATCTTTGTTTCGACAATTTTTATTTGATCTTCCTTTCTTGATATATGATTGGTGGTGAAGTATGGGGCTAAGGTTAAAGCATAATCATAAAGCTATTATCCTTATTGTTTTTTTTTAAATTGGTATCTTTATATGTCTATTTTTGAAGTAAATACTTTTGATCTCTCGTTATGATGTTTTGCACGGGCCCGAAATCAATATAAGATGCATATAGTATCCGTTGATGATTTTTTCACCCACCGTAATTTTTCTAACCTAGTCAAACAATCGTTGCTAAAGTTAAGAACAGAATTTGAAGAATATGTCATTGCAAGTGGTAATAGAAAAAAAGTTTATCGGTATATCTTCTAAAGTCTCTATACCATTACTTCAAAAAGCTGACGGGTCTGTTTGTTCTTCACGAATCTTCGGAATGTTTATCGTTATTCTTTTCTCAGGTTTTTACAGATGAACCTATCGATACCATTCCTCAAATATGTGCCCACTTTTATCTAAAATTCTTGATAATATCTCTTTCACACCGGATTCAATTAAACATCATTGATAGAAACTACGCAATCATTCATCACCTGGATTATACGGACTAACCTCCTTTTTCCTGCCATCCCTATATCTCTCATAATGAATGCTTCTTTCAAACAAGGTTCTCTTCCCACGTCCTGGAAATTAGCTTCGATTACTCCTTTATTCAAGAAAGGAAATAAACTTGATTGCAATAATTATCTTCCAATTGTTGGGAATGTCATTGAATCCATTATTTCGGAAGCTATGTCTGAGTTTCTTCTTCAAGAAAATGTCGTCCCTCGCCAACAGTATGGCTTTATCAACATGACTTTATGGTCGTTCAACGATCATAAAGTTACTTCATTGTGTAAATGATTGTTCATTATCTTTAAATAATCGGCATCCTGTCGAGGTAGTCTACTTAGACTTCTGAAGAGCTTTCAGCCGTATTCCAAAACGTCGATTACTATCTAAATTGGATCACTATGATATCCGGACAGTAAAACATTTGAACTCAAGATTTTCTATCCGACAGATACTTCAGTACTCACTAACTTTACTCAATATACGTTCTTCTTCTTCTTTAAGTGCCATCTCCGCGACGAAGGTTGGCAATCATCATGGCTATTCTGACCTACGAGGCAGCTGCTCTGAACAATTGCCTTGAGCTGCAACCGAACCACTTTCTCAGGTTCTTCAACCAGGAAACGCGTCTTCTTCGCGTCTTTCCTGTCGGTTATGCATGCAAGCTTAAAACCATCTTGCAAACCCTAACGTCTATGGCCTCCATAATTTAGATGTTCTATTTTTATGAATATTATAATACCCGAAATCCTTTATGTTATCACAAATTCAAAATTATATCATCTGCGAATGTAATTTTCTTTTAAGACTTTGTATATTTGTCTTTTTTTTAAGTAGTTAGTCCAGGTTTCAGATCCATATGTGAGTACCATCTTATTTGAGTTTTTTGTATATGTCATGTCGTTTTTCTTTTAATTTTATCTGATCTTAGCTGCTTAATTGAACGAACGACTCGAAGTTGTAAACGCAGTCCCATGCGCGTTTCTTAATAAAATAAAATAATTAAAATAACATAAAAAATACATTAAATTAAAAACCATCGCTCCCTGCGTAAACGATAAGAAAACTATGCTTCCCCACTTTGGTCACCCCCGCAAACCCACATCCCGTTTTTAATACTCTCAACATGCATATATGTTATTTTAGCTTGCTTGATTTTCAGGCCACTGTTTTATGCAGTTCGTTATATTTGATTTAATCCCTGTATCATTTATTTTTTTAATCTTGTGATTGTGTCAAGGTCATCTGCAAAGGCTAATATAATGGCGCCCTGGTATTGATTATCGTTGCTCAATTATTGACTGTCGAGACCCTTATTATATTCTCAAGTGTGATGGTGAATAGTGTGCATGACAAGGTATCTCCTGTTGCGGTTCCTTATTTACATCTATTGTTTCCGTTATTTCGTTTTGTATGCAGATTTTGTTTTCCACCCTTAGTATTTCTTTCGGCAATACTAAAATTTTAAATTTTATCATTCATAGACCAAATACGTGCTCTACTGTTGACTTTCGACTACAGAAGGCACGTTGGTATTTGCCAACTCCTTTATCTCAGTATGTTCTTAATCTTTCATAAGTTGTGTTGGATATTTTGTATGCTGTGTTTAGCAGCGTAAATCCCCGATAATTTCCACGTTCCAGCCGCCTAATTTTTTATGTAATGCCCAAATTATACCAATATTTCATTCATTACGTACCTGCTTGTTGTCCATATATTTATTGTTAGCTTATGTTATTAGTCCGATCCTGGTGCCTTATTAGTCTGTGATTTTTCTACTGCTCATGTAATCCCAGCCATTGTTGTTTTTCTTTGTTATCTGATTGATTCAATGGTATTTAATATAAGTTTTATTTGACTAATAACGGTTTTAAAATTCTTCTAAATTTTGATGTTACCACACCACTTATCTGCACATTATTAATAGATATAAAATACTAATTTATTATTTTTAATTGTCGTATTATTTCCATAGGTTCCCATCCCTGATACAAATACATTGATTCAAAATGCCACAGATCATGTTACGAGAAATTATACTGGGCTTTCTAGTGCTACATTTAATAGCAATTTGTTTCCTCAATATGGACGTGATTATACTGCCAAAGGAGAGCTAACTTCCTTCGCGACAGTATTTGGTGTTTTGTTTTCTGGAGTTACAGGAATCATGGCTGGGGCCAATATGAGCGGTAAGTTATTTATATTTTTGATACTTTGAATATTCAGTGATTATATTTATTTAAAGGTCCTATTTGAAGTCTTACTTCACTACTATCAAGTATTGCAGTTGATATTGATTAGAAATAACGTAGCTTATTTACTAAAATTGAATCATTTGCCGAGAGGCATATGATCTTCAAGACTATAAAAAATAGGAAACAGATACAATAGGAACCAAGAGCAGATTAAGCTCAAACCAATTTGTTTCATGCAGAATATTAACAATTTACACGTCTGTCGATCTGAAGCGATAAACCAATTTGTTTCATGCAGAATATTAGCTATTTACACGTCTGTCGATCTGAAGCGATTTGACGATATCGAACGTGAATTTTTACAAATTCTGTACTTTTCAGACTTTTCTGGAAGTTTCAAGATTCTAGGACTTTAAGAATCATCATACATATAGAGACGAACAGACAGACGGGCATATAAAGACTTTTGTCACAAGAGAATCGATTTCTGGGTCACAAACATCATATTCTAGATATGTTAAATCTGAACTAATATCTGTAATTGGGTGCGTCCAGAGAATATAGGTCAAATTACATAGCAAAAAAAGTGCAAGAATTTTTGTTTGCTCCGATGGTCGGTGCTCGTTAGAACGGCTCAAAAGCCATATGAGTCACGGAGAAACAAAGTTCTACCATCAAATAAATAGTATTAGAAAAGAATTCAAATCAAGAATCAACTATTGTAATGATAAGGAAGGCAACTTACTTACCAACAAAGAGGACATCCTTTTACGATGGGTAGAGCACTTTCGAGAGTTGCTGGAAGGAGAACCTACTAACAATATAGAGCTGGAATACCGAAATGAGGAACTCGTGGAACCCCCCTCGGTAGATGAAGTAAAAATATCTATAGAAAAACTAAGGAACCATAGGTCCCCAGGTAGCGATGGCATCCCAGCAGAGTTATTTAAGCACGGTGGAGAGCAGCTCACCAAGGTGATGCGAGAAATTGTTTGTAGAATTTGGTCTGAGTAGCAAATGCCAGAAGAATGGAGCTTAAGCTTAATTTGCCCGTTACACAAAAAGGGAAACCAACTGGAATGCAATAATTACCGCGGAATAACTCTCCTAAATACAGCATACAAGATATTATCAAATATTTTGCACGAGAGATTAAAGCCTTATACTGAAATGTTTCTAGGGGAATATCAGGCAGGATTCAGGCCTGGACGTTCAACCATTAACCAGATCTTTACACTACGACAGATCCTCGAAAAAGCGCAAGAGTTTAACATAGATATGTATCATATTTTTGTCGATTTTGAATGAGTTAGGAATTCCAAAAAAACTAATATGTTTGATAAAAGTGACAATGGCGAAGATGCTATCAGCAGTAAAAATTCAAAACGACTCGTCAACCCCATTTCAAATACATAGGGGGTTAAGGCAGGGAGATGCGCTGGCGTGTCAGCTTTTTAATGTCGCCTTAGAAAAAGTTGTACGAGACGCTAATTTAGATAGCAGGGGAACAATATTTAATAGATCAGTCCAAATTCTAGCATATGCAGACGATGTGGATATTATAACAAGAACTAGGGCGAGAACTGCGGAAATCCTAACCGAGCTAGTAGCAGCAGCAGAACGAATGGGGTTACATATAAATCAAAATAAAACCAAATTCATGGCGACTAACACAAACACAAGAGCTGGAAATGTTGACACAAATTTAATCATCAATGACCAAAACTTCGAAGCAGTTAATGAGTTCATATATCTAGGGACATCGGTTAACCCCAATAACAATACATCTGAGGAAATAAAAAGGCGAATAATAATTGCAAACAGGTGTTATTATGGTCTATCAAAGTATTTAGCTAACAAACGTCTGTCTCAAAAAACTCGTATAAGGCTGTATAGAACACTGATAGTCCCCGTTCTCACATACGGATCAGAGGCATGGACGCTAACGAAAACAGATGAATCCGCTCTATCCATTTTTGAAAGAAAGGTGCTACGCAAGATATTTGGAGCGGTCTGTGAGAACGGAATATGGAGGCGTATATATAACTTCGAACTGCAGAATATCTACAAGCATACGTTTGGTGGTAAAGATATTACCACTATAATTAAGCGAAACCGCCTGCAGTGGGCAGGACATGTAGCCCGGGCCCCTGAATCGAACATGATAAAAAAGATTCTAACAGCGCAACCTGTGGGAATGAGACGACGGGGTAGACCAAAGCTGAGGTGGATGGATGGGGTAACACAAGATGCGGAGAAGATCGGAGTCGGCAACTGGAAAATTCAAGCAAGGGACAGAACAGAATGGCGTAGAAAGCTTGAGAAGGTCGAGGCCCTCTAAGGGCTGTAGCACCAAGATGATGATGGTCGGTGCTCTAATGTAATCATATCAAGTTAATGGTGTGTCTTGGACCTCTTTCTCTTTCTGTCTCTGGACCCATGAGTTCCTCTCATGGGACCAGAACTGTGCTTTAGGATCAGTGACAAAGTCTATAGGACTCGAGACAATGTGACAGTAATAACATCCAAATAATGCGTAGACATACTAAGAATAAATCGAAGTTAGCTAAGTAATATGGGCATCTTAGGCACTGAATACTGCCTTCTGTGCTAACCTGTTTAAGACAGACGGCAAAGCTTATGCTGTGCTGGTGCGTGAATGAAGCAAGCTTTGATATATACGGGAAAATATCACTAAGAATAGAATTGGTATAATTACTGATAAAGAAATTAAAGAACATGAAATTTGTATTTGATAAACTGTTGAATGTGGTGTTTGTGTGTATGTGTGAGTATACGTGTGTAGCTGTCAAATCGGACTTTAAGATTAGGCTTAGTAGAAATGATGGAGAATGATAATCAGGAGTCAGGAACTAGCAATACTATAAGTGGTGATTTTTGACATATTCTTCTAAAAGAGACAAAATACACTGATTAAATAGAAAAACGGACAAAATTATTATCAAATAGACTGTTTCATTACAAGAAAAGGAGATGTATCTGAATGTAAGATTGTTAGCGAGACTAGAAGCCAACGTAAGTGTTGGTGCTGGACATTGAAGTAAGAATCTCTTGTCAAAACGAGAGAGCATATGTTAAAATGGATAAGGCATGTGCAACGTGTCGAAATGATAAGGACTCAATTCGAAAATCGCTGATTGGTATGACTGTAGATAGAAACTCACGGGGAAATGCAATTAGGAAAGCCGACGCTGCATATGGATAAAGGCAACCAGAATGATGGTGATAATATTGGTTTAAAAATAAAGTATTTTGTCAAAAAGAAACGCGTATTTTTCGTAAAACTTTTTTAACAATGTTATATTTTAGGTGAGCTGAAAAATCCGGGAAAATCTATCCCAAGAGGAACTTTATCCGCTGTAGGTTTTACATTCATCATTTACATTTTCATATCCTTTTTAACTACTGGTACCTGCACAAAAGAGCTACTGCAAAACAATTACGTATATATGGCTGGAGTAAGTGCTTTTCCTGCAAGTGTCGCTATTGGATTAATCACCGCTACCTGGTCTGCCAGCCTTAGTAACATCATAGGTGCTTCTAGGGTTGTTGAAGCTCTCTCGAAGGATAGAATTTTTGGTAAGATATTTGTATTTTATTAATGAACTAGTTTCTTTGTCCGTCGCATGCAAGGGGAGATCCAATCAATTGGCATCTACAATTAGTCATTAAATTTTTAAAATAATAATCTTTACATATAATCCAAATAAATATAAAGTATGATTTGGTGCACTTCTGACCTGACATGTTTTTTACTATACCCTGTATATATATATATATATATATATATAAATATATATATATATATATATATATATATATATATATATATATATAAGGATCACTTAGACGAGTGGTGGGTTCTTATATCGGTCTCTAGGTGGAGAAATAAAAGACAAAGTTGATAGGCTACTTTATCTATTTTAAAGACGTTTCGCTTTCGAGTTTTGAAAGCATCATCAGTACAATATTAGAACCACACAATAATGGAAACGATGTTAATTGTTACATTAAAAAGACATGTAGCAGTCAATGTTATTAACACTGTTACATGTCTTTTTAAGGTAACAATTAACATCGTTTCCATGATTGTGTGGTTCTCATATTGTACTTTTTTAGATGAACTGATGATGCTTTCAAAACTCGAAAGCGAAACGTCTTCAAAATAGATAAAGTAGCCTATCAACTTTGTCTTTTATTTCTCCACCTAGAGACCGATATAAGAACCCACCACTCGTCTAAGTGATCCTTATATATATATATATATATATATATATATATATATATATATATATATATATATATATATATATATTGGATTGACGGTCGTACTCCTTTTTCCGATATATATATATATATATATATATATATATATATATATATATATATATATATATATATATATATATATATATAACAATGAACCATAAGTATTTGCTGACCACGTAAGGAAGTAAACATTAAATATTAGGTATGCAGCAATAAAAATGAAACGTGTACTCATAGAGAAATAACAAATAAGAGAGTGCTTGGTTGCATAGATAAAACTGGCACAGTGTGACGGCACTCGATGCTAGCGACTTGATGAACTACTTACTCAACTAAACGACCAGAAAATGGAACGCGGGATATTTAAAATTATTATATTTCAGTAGAGAATCTCAGTTTACAGATAATTTTACAGGAAAGACTTTAAACTGAATTTCCTCATACTCTAACCTAAAATATATGTGAAAAATTATGTGTAACGATCTAAATATATGTTCAGAATCAAAATATGTAAATTTTATTTGTTGTTTTTAGGTTAGAGTATGCAAAAGTTCAGTTTAAAGTCTCTCCTGTAAAATGAGATATTTCGGCTAAGCCATCGATATTTTCCTCATAAATTTTCAGAAAAATAGGGGACATGAACACTGGGAAAAAAAACTACACATGTTTTATTTTTATTAATCCTCACAGGGACCCCCCACTTACCGCATGCATGTATGGAGTGCTGATAAAATAAAATAGAAAAACATATACAGAACAATTGTTTTGAAATAATATAAAGTTTTGAGATATAAAACACACAGATCAACACAAAATGCATGCATGTCCCCGCTCTTCTTTATTTATCTTAAATTTTACAAAATGCAGATATTACAAATTTGATTAGTAGGTAGCCTAAAAATATTCAAAGAAAAATATTACACAATACACAGAGAACTTTACTAAAGCTAAAATAAATACCCTTAAAATAATAACTCTTACAATAAATAAGTAAAATACTTTTAGGTGATAAACAAATCGAACAAACCTGCAATTTAAATATATGTTCATAAGAGAAATATTTGCCAATAAAAAACTTTTTGACTACACTATAGTCTCCAGTACAAGGACCTAAAATTTTATTGTGTATGCATTCCTTACAATGTGTCTGACAAACTTTTCCTCTGTGAAAAATTTCGGAGTTGCTTCGTTTTTGAACGCTTAGTTCTCAAAGATGTTTAATACACAATTTTCCTTGTACTGGGGACTACTATAGTGTTAGTTATATAAATGTGAATACAATATATAAAATTTACCATTAACTATTTGACTGAAGTACCAAAGCATATTAAAAGAAAATCAATGTTGCGAACTTAAAAAAATAGTTTATTTAAATAAAGAAATGGAGAAGAGTTTAGAAAAATAGGCTAAATAAAATTATAAATGCTTCATCTTATTAATTTTCTTTTTTTGTAAATCATTTTTCTGCAAATCTCGATAACTTCTATAAACATCATCATAATATTTCCTAATTATTAAGTCTACAGACACATCTAGAAAATAATTAAACACATTTAATCCAAATGTTGGTTACAAGTAAACCACTCCAGAGTTACATACTTTTTTATCAAAATTTTAATTTTTTTGGACAAATGGTTTATATGTCCATTATTGACTAATACAGCAATTACAATATCGTGAATTTTGGCTAAATCTACTATAAAATTTTTTGTAACATAAGCTAAACTTGATTTCTTATCACTATATTCTTTAAACATTGTAAATGTATGATGTGGTTCTAAAACATCAAATATTAAATTAGCTGCACACAGCTCACATTCTTGAATTATTTTAATTTTTCTTGTTATATACCCAGCAACATATGCTAATGTGTTGCCACCATGACCTGTAACATCTATATCAGGTAATGGTAGAGCTAGATGTTCTATTTCATTTACCTCTAAAAGATCTAAATCAATAAAATCATTGTTGGTGATTGAACTATCCAAAAAGTCTTGCAAATTATCAAGAATAGAGCCGTCATCTGTTTCACAATTTTTATTTGAATTAGGAGTAATTAAGTTATTAAGAACAGATGTTTTAAATGATGATATAAACTGGTAGCAATTTGGATTTATATTTTCTGCTCCTAGATGACGGATAGAAGCAAATGAGTTTTCTAAAGGATCTTGATTTAAAGAACGGGTTCTTAAAAACTTAAATCCCAGATCTCTACAAATATTCCACAACTCTTTTGTTGCTACAATAGTAGTTAACCACCCTGACTTAAAAAGCATTACCTTCTTTTTCACTTTCTCATCAATAAATATCCAGCTATTAATTTTTGGAAGAAGAAGATTCCACAAAGCGAAATGAGGAGATTTATTAGACATACACCTACGATAAGGCTTTCCACATTCAGGCTTTATTGTTCTGCCATTAAAACTATCAAAAAGTTGATCTATATCATGCACAAATTCAGCAGTATCGATAGCTTGAGAAGGTATATTATTATTTGGGTTACTAACCATCTCTTCTAAAGTAGAAGCAACCGTATGACTGAGGGTCCGTGCGGCCACACACACTTTCATCTTTAACCGACTGTGATTATTAAGATGTAAATAAACCTCCCTTATCCGCCTTAATGCTTGAAACCGTTTTCTTTTGTCTATATTAAAACATTGTCTTATATGATCAATTTTTGCCATTTTTGTCTGATCAAACTGAATATGGTACTTTAAAAGAGCATTACGAGTTGACTTTAATAAATGTGGTGGGTTTGTAGCACCTTGGTCACATATAGTACAGAGTATTTTTAAACCAGTTTCAACTTCTACCTTAGTAATTACCTGTGAAATTAAATCCTTCAAATCATATGACTTTACAGTATGTTGTGTAAAAAAATGCTATTGGTTGTTTCCAACTTTTGTGCAGACCATTAAGCATAAAAATTAATGCATGATTAGCATACTCATTTTTACGACCCAAGGGACCAAGATCTACATAACCGATGACTTTATCATTAAACTTATCAAAAACTAACTGCTGAGCCAGTGATATTTCATCAAAAACTAAGGAACAATACCTATCTAATGGTCTCATGGTTTTTACTCTTTTAGAAAGTTTCTTTAATAACTGGATATCTATTCCAGCTGCAAAAGGAACGTTCGTTAAGAGTTTCTGAAGGGTACTTTTAGCTGGTAATGGTATACTACGTTTCAAAAATCTGTAAGATCTAGGACCCCTTTTGTCCTAGATGTTACAGATTTAACACGTGATAAGCATATACCTTATCACGTGTTGTCCAAGTAGGCCTTTTAACTTTACAATTTGAAAAAGCACTTTTAAAAAATGATGCAATTGTAGGGTCCATAATATTATCTTCTAATTCCCTAAACCTTTCACCTTTAGAAAACTCATATGCAAATTTTAATTTCTGTTTAGTAACTTTTATAGAGTTTTTTTAATTTACAAATAGAATTTCTATGAGTTTGATTTAAAAAATATAACTTTTTCTTTTTAGGAGAAAGATCTTTTACTCTATTTTCATTAATTTCTTTTAAAATATGCAATCGCTTACGTTTAGGTGGTGGTGTATCATACTCATTATCATACTGACTGGAAATTGACTGTTTATTATTGACTGGGTTATTAATGGAGGATAATTTTGGAGGAACTATTTGAACATTACTATGAATGTGTACATTTGACACAGACATTTCTTCAGAAGAATGTGCAGGTATAGGCAAAAGTTGATTATGAACATTGGATATGTGAATTATTTTGAAAGGCACTGCATTATTCAACAGTTTTGTTTTTAAACTGCTTGTAAATTGTGTTTCCTCAAAATGATCTTCACATAAATAACGCCTAGTTTCAGTAAATTCAATACCAATAATTTCAAACCAGTTATGACGTCTTTTTAAATCTGTTTCTGGAAATCTAAAAAAACTTTTTATTTTTATAATCTGGGTCTGTGATAGGATGAAAATATTTGTTATTACAAAAGGACGCTAAACACCCATGAACATATTTACCGGGTTTGGACATATTTTAGATTGCAAAATGATAAACTAATAATATTACCTACATACAATACATCCAATACGGACGATTACAAATACCATAAATTATAACTAAACACAGAAGAACCTTTAGTAAAGAAAGAATTTTGTATATACAAATAAACATACAATATGATTATGTATAACCATTGTATAACCTAAAACTCTATGCTAAAAAGTCAATGTCAACAATGTAAATTTTCATAGTACAATCAAAATACTTTATTGTACCATGGTAAATTTTAGTTTCATAAACAGCAGCGCCCCAATGTGCTACTTACCTGTGCAGAAACAAATGTGTACAATTTTCCCTATCTTTTGATCACTCTCTTATTGTTATTTCTCTATGTGAGTACTCTTTTAAATTTTTAATCCAAGCTTTCGGACATTAGTTATGTCCTTCATCAGGGAGAAACTTAATGAGGTTGTATCAGAAAGGATTTTATAAAATGTTGATAAAATTTATCACAGTCTGTTTATCTGTTGAGTCTAAAACCTATTCCTATATTTAAAATTTTAAAAATGACTTTACATTCACACACACTTAATTAATATACACAAATTTATGACATTGATATTAATTAATTAATATTAATCACATTAATTTTATTGTGATCACAATTTAAAACTAATCCGTTTCTTGGCCCATTTTAGTCAGAACCTAATTTTTTATGTATTTTGACCATTTAATTATTAGGATTCTTCTAAACGTCCACATTTTAAATGCTTCAACACTATTCATGATACCTAATTTTTAAATGTTTTAAAAAAGTTTCTACTCCGTATAATAGAATTGCTTTAAAAAATCTATATTTATGTCTGGCTGTATGACAGAAGATCTTGACCAAAACAATTGTATTTTATGTTTAATTACATAATAATATTTTCATGATTTTAAATATTGCTCTGGAGTGTTCAATTCGTATTATAACTGCAACATCAGGACCAACATTTTTAGTGATTCATTAACCAAAGATACAATTAAATAAACATTTGTTAAAATCATTTGGCAAGTTCCCAGAAAAAATAATACACATTAATTTTAGAGAAAAGGTCAGAAAGTTATTCAATACTAATTTTAAATTTGTATTTAAATATAATTAACATCTAAGTCATAAAGTTGAAGATGTTTCGAGTTTTTGTTTAGCATTTTTCATATAAAATACTGCTTTCAGGTCCAATCTTAAACTTTATACCAAAAGGTACATGGAAAGGAAATCCAATAGCAGCAGTGGTGCTCTCAGCAGTACTGGTCCAGTTCATCCTTCTTATCGGTTCTCTTAACATCATCGCCCAATTGAACTCGGTTCTTTTTCTGTTGAGCTATTTGGCTACGAATATAGCATGCTTGGGACTAGAATTGGCGGGTGCTCCTAACTTCCGTCCGTCGTTTATGTACTTTACGTGGCACACGGCTCTCTTGGCGTTCTTGGGGACGTTGATCATGATGTTCGTGATAAGTCCCATTTATGCAGCCAGTAGCATATTGTTGTGTTTGATATTGGTGATCGCTCTGCATCTATTTTCGCCGTCCAAAGAAGCTCAGTGGGGAAGTATATCACAAGCTTTGATATTTCACCAGGTAAGCAATGGTGATTTTATTAATTTTTGTTATAAAATAGTAGTTTAAAATGTCTAATTATTAGCGAAATAATCAGACGACAAAAATGCTTTAAATTAGAGAGAAAAAGTCAATAAAAAATGGAAAAAGTAAAACCGACTCTTAGCCCATTCTGGTTATGCAATTCACAGCAAAATTTTCCGCAGATATCTGAAGTTTTTAGGACATAGGTGGGGCTTACTAGATGACGAATAGATAAAAAAGTACTCGTATTTTTACCTTGCGTTTTTTTTTTTAAACAATAATTTATGGTCACAATTTGATTTTTTGTCTGTAAGTTTTTTCGATTATATTTTACATCAACAATATTTATATCATTTTTTTATATCAAGAATATCTTTATGTTCCCGTTTTTTAAATTAAAATTGATAAATAATTTCCACTAATTTATAAATTTTATTAATTTTTTTTAATAACAAAATAAAATATTATTAATACATTTAAACAACGAGGAATTACCGTCTTTTAAATTTGTGCGAAATTTCCCCCCGATCGGTCAAATAGTTTTAAAGTTATTTAATTTAATTATCCCTGAGACTAAATATTTAAACTATTGAACTTGCTCTATTAATGATGCTAGACACATTTAGCAAATTTCATAGGATTCTTTAAGACTTAAACTATCTCAAAAGTTAAATGCATATTGAGTTTTCATCGAAAACATTTACAAAATGAACGTTTGAAAACAGTGTATGTTTTTTACTTATAAACAATTGTAATAACTTCTATATTTTTCAAGCTACTGACTTGTACGTACAACCATTGGATAGCTGGTAAAAAAATTCATATTAAAAAAAAACCTTCTATGACCAATTGGAACGAAACGGGACGAAGCTAGGGACTATTTTTAAAAAAATCATATCTATATTGTTTATAAACATTAAGAAGTAAAATTCATCAAATTTTTCGAAACTTACAGCCCTTCGAAACGAAGGTACTTTCGAAAGATCGTCATAAGAAAGTGGAGGGGATAACTGTTTCAGCTCCATTTTTTTTGGATTTCGAAACTTAAAATTGAAACACGTAGGAAAAATTTACATTATCTCGGCTTCCATTGCAGCTAGAAGCGTCTTTTTTTTAATCTGTGGTAGGTCGTCGAAATATGAATAACTACATAGTTTTCACTGGTCGGGAAATATGGGAAACCTCGGAAAAATTGAGTTCATTTTGAAATTCTTTTTTTTTTTCATTTTATATCAATGATGTAATAATACTAGGTACCTATGTTTATATATGTGTATAGATATATGTACAGTAATAGGACGGTAAACACATTTATTTATGTTTTTAGATCTAAATATCTCCAAATATCACAGAGTATACCGTCCTCGTGTCCCTACATTTTATATGTATTCGTGTGAATAGGAGAAAGGTCATCTATATAATAGAAATCCGGTAATATATCTTAGAATGCGTAAAAAAGTCGGGATGAGTAGCAGCTCATTCCAAAATTCCAAAAACTATTTGACCGACCGGGAGAAATTTCGCACAAATTTAAAAGACGGTAATTCCTCGATGTTCAAATGTATTAATAACATTTTATTTTGTTAATAAAAAAATTAATAAAATTTATAAATTAGTGCAAAAAAACAAATGATATGTGCGAGTTGCTCATTCCATTTGAGTTTTCGGTCAAGGGCAACTCCGAGATACTTAATATCTTCCAAGAATGGTAGTGTTATTCCAGTCATGGTTGGAGGTTGAATTGTTCATTTCCTCTCTATTTGTGAATGAAACAAGTATCGTTTTATTAGGATTTATTTAAATTTAAGGTCTTCTTTCTAGCTCCAAGTAGTTACTAAGTTTAAGTCACCTTGTATTTGATTACCAATAATACTGCCATGCTTACCTCTAACCACTTTAACTAGATCGTCTACACGGCCCAGAGCACGAAATACTTTTCTTTTGAGCTTTGTTAAAAGATCGTCAACAACTATCAATCACAGTGAAACTGATGAGACTACTCCTAGAAAACAAATTTTATTATTCTTAGAGTGACCAACATATGCTGCCAAATGATGGACTCTTAAGAAAAAAGATAAAATGTTCATAGATGCATTCTAGATGTTCTGTTGGAGACGAATGCTTAGAATCCCTGGGTAACCTGAAGACTAAGAATGCAAGTAACAGAACAAATATAGGCAATTTCTAAAAAATAGGTAGTTTTCTAAGGGATGGTTTTGAGAAGCTTACCATACAGACAAAGATGAAGGGTAACACAGGTAGAGGCACATCTGTGTGCCTCTACCTCTGAGGTAGAGATACCTATAATGGGTCAACAACTATGAATAGAAGTGGGCGACTGATATTCGAGGTGGGTAGTTATATTCCTAATAGTGAGCATGAATTAAATCCATTTGGTAATGAAAGTTGGTAATAAACTCACAGACAAGGAATTGGTACCAAATGCCCCCTCAATATCTCTGAACCTGGCCTTTTAATGTGTTAAGAAATATAGGCGAACATGAAACTCGCCTTCTTGATGATCTATCTGTACATAAATTTATCAAACTAGGCATGTGCTTTACTAAGCCGATGATGCATCACTTAATAATTCACCAAGAAATTGGGAATTTAAAAGGCAACTCCTGTTTTCCTCGTTTGTTTCTGTAAACGAATCGTTCGGCTTTTTAATTAGTCGAATGCCGGATTGGTTTTTGAAATAAATGTTTGAAGTCGCAATGTGGGAGCTAAATTGGTGATCGTTTTATGGTGATTAGACCATTGTAATTCGTTGTTCTATTTTTAAATTGTATGCTTAATAAATGACAAAAGTACTGAGTAAAATTGAAAACCCAGAATTTATCTTATCTGGAAGAGAAAATCCAACTGAGGAATTCCATGAGAAGATTCAAATTAAATGGAAAAAACAGATTACTTTTCGTCTAATTCTAACAGTCTAATTCTAGTACCAATAAACAGAAAGAAAAGAAACAAAATTGCCACATTACAGAAGAATTGCCCTGCGGATAAGGTATAAAGTTAGCTGGCAAATAGTGGTTTACACTGATACGCTGATTAAAGAACGAAAGTCCAAGTATATGAAAATAACATTACTACAAACAATATTGGAAGAAGATGAATGATACAAGAGGGATGCAAGATCAATAAAGAAAATAGAAAAGCAGAAGCTTTACTTAAAATTCTTACATTACAAAACGTTACAAAAGAACGAAAAAAGAGTATCACAAACCACAAAACCGTACTTGTTTCGTTAACATAGCCCTACATATTTTAATGGAACATTTAACTGAAAATTTCGGGTGTATACACACAACTGTCATTGGAAATCAGTCAAATAGTTACTGAAAATCGTAGAAATGGATTTAAAAAACGTATTTGAAAATATGCTGACGTGGTATCAAGAGTCTAATAAATAAAATAAAAGTCTATCCCAATTTACTCCTAAAACATATTTTTATAGTAAACATTTTTATAAGTATATAAACCAAGTATATTGTATATGATTTTTAAGAAATTATTTATATCTATTTTAGGTACGAAAATATTTATTACTATTGGATTCTCGTAAAGATCATGTGAAGTTTTGGCGTCCACAAGTTCTGCTATTGGTAAACAGTCCACGATCATCTTGTCCTCTTATAGATTTTGTTAACGATCTTAAAAAGGGTGGCTTGTATGTTATAGGTCATGTAGAAACTGGAGAAATGAGCGAAGAAGGCGTTGATCCGACTTTAAATCAGGCACCCCATTGGTTGACCTTAGTTGATCATCTCAAGGTAAGTTATAAGAATAGTGATAAATATTAAGTAAACAGTTATGAAAATGATAATACTTACTTCGGAATAAGTTCAGAGTGAACTGCATTTTTATGTTTGATTTTAAATTTAAAATTTAAAAAGCCTTATTTACACAGAAAATGCAGTTGCGCCACACCTAAAAAATAAGCGATGGTGCCCGATTGCTTGCGTTGTTTTCTGTTCGCAAATATTTGCTTCATGCTTTAGTATGAAAAGGAAGAATCTGACATAAATTACGTAAAATTTGTCAAATTTAATATTTATCACCGAGAATATAATTATTTTATATTTTATGTTGTTTATATAAATCAATAAATTCAAATCAAATTTAAACCCATCAGACAGTTTTTTCCATTCAGTTGAACTTAACTGAATTATATCTAAATAAAATGTAAACCCATCAGAGTTTTTTCCCAAATATAGTAAATTATCAGACCTGTTAACTACCATTAAAATTTCGACTAAACATGTATTACTACAAGAAATACTGGATATTAGCGACTGTTGATATAAACAAACAACACAGTTTATTACGGCTGCAGTCAGAAGTTTGGCCGGGATGTTACAGAAACACTCTTTTGACATTTGGTCTAGCTTTCGGAATTGTTTTATTCCTTTTTCAAGACACTGTAGTAAGAAGAATGTGTAAATATTTACAATATATCCCAATTCGTCAGTGCAACTTACTAGTCGTTGAGATTATTTGTATAAAGCTTTGACACTCAATTAATAACACACATATAAAATATAACATATAAAATAATGGACAAAATACATTTTAAAATTTAGTTAAAGATAGTAAAGTCTCGTTTATGACATCTTTTGTCAACAGAAAGGAAAAACAAAAACAGTGTGATTAAAATGTAATTAGGAGTTCTTCATGTTTTATTAATGGAAGTAATATATTAAACCTATCTTGATGGTATGCAACATGTTTTGCACCAGCGGAGCCTTTTAATATAGATTTTATCTTTATAGCGGAAAGTCTATTGGTACCAGATCAGTCGAATGGCGTAGAAAATCTGACATCAAAATTTGATAGTTGATTAGAACCTTTTTAAAAGAGAACATGCAGCGGGGCGCAAGTGATAAATAATCCACGTTCTTTATCACAATTAAGATCATTTTTAAATTATTGTGAAGATAATTGGTTTATTCATTCGAAATTTCTTAGCTCTCGTTGTAATAGTGCCTTTCCACCGAATTGATGGCTACTATGGATTATAAAAAACCAAAATTAATTTTATGACTGTTTGTGAAGTCTTAGGTCTTTTTAAATGACAGTAACTTTGACTTTTTTGTTCTTGTGGTGTATCTGGTTACTCTGAATTTTAATATAATATTTTATTTGTAACTACGTTTATTTCTCGTTTTTAACATGTCACAGTATCGAAATGGAATACAAAACTAATTTCATTCTAGTGGGAGAAATAGTGAAGCATTGAGCTGCGCTCTACCACGTTTCGATTGAGGGAATTTTTGGCATCGTTTTTAGATACACTCTACGTATTAAAATTGTTGTGTTAAATTTTCCCCAAACAAAAGATAAAACCAAAGAAAATAATGGCGACCTTCCTTGTTTTGATTTAACTATTTTTTAGGTAAAAGCTTTTCATTGAGTTAACAGTGGCCAGAACGGTTCGTGAGGGATTACAACATTTGATGAGATTATCTGGTATGGGAGCGATGAAACCAAACACTGTAATTCTTGGATTTTTGGATAATGAAGAATCTCAAGATTTTTTGCTAAGGTAAATTGAAATGCTGACTATATAAAAATTCTCTTGAAACTGCAGTTATTAGATTTAAATTACTAAAAATTCTGTTTTGTTTTCAGTACTGACTCAATTTATCAGAATCATGACTTTGAAAACGACGTGTTCCCACTCAAAACACAAAGTACGGTACAGTCTGTAGAATATGTCCAGATGATGCGAGATGTGCTTAGGATGAATAAAAATTTGTGCTTATGTAGAAATTTTGTTAGACTGAGGAAAGACGCCAGAAGGTAATATAATCTTATTATATGCTGCATTACTTTAGTTTCAGTTTCACCGTTCTCGAGGTGGTGGTTGTTTATAATATAATAATTAATAGTAAAATTTTATGACAGTCTGTGACTGCAGTAAACATCATCGAAGTTAAGAGTCAGCCTCCATGCGATGCTGGTTATGAAGAAATAATTACTGACCACAGCATCCTTACAAGAATAATATTGAATTTCAGCTGTATTTTTTTGTTATAAATAAGAAAGCTAGCTAGCTAGCTTGTTCAAAAAGGATATCGTAATATTATCCATTGAGATTGTATTTCTATATTTGTGGATAATAATCAATCGTATATTTTGAAATGAGTAATTTTCAGAAATAGTCACTTATTTTTTTAGTGAATTTTTTTATCAATCAACACAAACCCAAATTTATTATGTAAATAGTTTTGGTAGTTGATATAATATTTCGACGTATTTATTACGACGCAATATTTCGACGTATTATATACCTTTTATAAAGGATTTTAAATAAATTTTTTGTGATATATGGTATACAGCCAGCTACAGGAACTTAGTTTCCTAGTGGAATTTCGACGTATTTATTGAGTGAAGTGTGCTATTTATATATAGTTCTAATTTATTTGTCTTTATTCTAATTTATTGTCTATATTCTAATTTATTAAAACTCACGATAACTAATTACGAATTTATTAAAGTCTTTATTAATTCTAATTTATATTACAAATAATAATTTATGTTTCGTTACATTTAAACATCGCGGTTGCCGAGCTTCTTATGACTCCTGCCAAATAAAAATCTTTCATTTATATACACAACTGTGTCATCTAGAGAATTCGGCGGACTTCCTGAATAGTCTCGTATTTTGGTGAAGGCGCTCGACTCGTTTTTCAACCTCGAGACGTGGATGACTCACTAAAATTAGTGTCTAGAGATTTCTGGTAAACAACTGGTAGCTAAGCTCAGGTATATTTTGACCTACAAATTACGAGAATCAATAAAAAAGAATTAGTCATAAAATATTTACAGTTCTATATGCCATAACATTTAAAATCGTAACATTGCCCCCCTCTTAAAAGATGGTTCCTCCTGGAACCTTGTCGGGACTGGAACTGGAACGACATGCTGATATCGGCAACTGGACCCTCTTTTACAACTTCCAGTTGTATAGAAATGACAAGGGACGGTTTCTCTCCGCAGCAGTAACTATGCGGATTGCAACAGACTAACACCTGGACTTCGGTGTCTTTAAAGATTTCCTCCACCATGTTTCGTATAACCCTCCAATCTAATTGGCGGCACTCCAACTTTGGCATGGCTAACTTTTGCACGTCGGACTCTAGTACGTGCTCTCTCAACTGAAGTAAGGCTTCCCATACATCTCGGTAGGTAGGTTGGTCACGGGCAGTGTTTTTTGTTACCAGGTAGAAAAGGTAACGTGATGCATCTTGAAGTTTCAAGGTTTTACCAGGAGCTGGCACTTGGCATTGAAGTTCTGCAACTCGACCAAACTTCCTTCGAAAGACGGATGCCAACCCTGGTGCATCTTTGATACTGGCCGGGATGGTAAGGGCCAATGAGTAGTCATCGGGAAGCGCGAGTAGATCTTGCCTTTCTTCAGTGGTAACACCATGTCTTGCTTTACCGGTACCTCCATAGGCACCCATGAATTCCTCAAACGTGAGGTCAGACACATCTTGGACTTGGTTTACTTCCACTTCTTCATCTACGTCGTGGTCACCCTCGAAAGACGCCAACCGGTTATGGTGTACTATCATCGGCTTTCCTCTCGGAATCTTGCTTATTCGGTAAATAACATCATTGATCTTCTCCATAATGAGGTATGGACCTTCCCAAAACTGCTGCAATTTGGGAGAACAACCTTTTCGCTTTTTGGGGTTATAAAGCCAGACTTTATCGTTCTTCTTAAAACACCCCTTTTCGGCTTGTGTATCGTACCGTTTCTTCATTCGGTCACTAGCGATTTGGAGATGGGAACGGACCAACTCGTGTACATCGTCCATTCTTCTTCGTAATTCGATCACATAATCTTCACCTGCTACATCTTCTCCAGGTCGACACCCAAACTCTAGATCACAAGGTAGTCGCATCTCGCGTCCGAATAGGACTCTGGCTGGTGTCTGGCCTGTTGATTCATTAACAGCAGATCTGTAGGCCATTGTGAAGAACGGAAGATATTGGTCCCAGTCTCGCTGATGATCGGATACCATCTTTGTCAAATACTTGCCAACTGTTCTATTCATTCGTTCTACCATACCATCGATTGCGGATGATAAGCCGTAGTTCTTGTTTTCTTCATACCTAGTCTATCACATATTCCTTGGAATAAATCGCTTTCGAAGTTCCTGCCTTGGTCACTATGGATCTCCAAAGGCACTCCAAATCGGCTGATATATTCTTGGATCAACTTATCTGCAACGGTGGCGGCCTTCTGGTCTGGAAGTGCGTAAATCTCGACCCACTTAGTGAAGTAATCCATTACTACCAACATGTACTTGCCTCCATTATCACTTTCTGGAAATGGCCCAGCAATGTCCAAAGCTATTCTTTCAAACGGGCTTCCAACATTATATTGTCTCATAGGAGCTCTCCTTTTTCGATAAGGCCCGTAACTCGTAGCACAAATAGTACATTTCTTACACCAGTCTTTCACATCGTCGGAACTGTTCATCCAATAAAACCGTTCCCGAATTCGCTGAAGGGTCTTTTTCACACCAAAATGCCCTCCTGATGGACTGTCGTGTAACTGACGAAGTACTTCGGCTATTCTGCTCTTTGGAATTACCAACTGTCTTCTCTTCTCTGAACCGTCATCATTTTCCAGGACTCGTTTGAGCAAGCCATCTTCCATGATAAATGAGTCCCACTGGGCCCAATACGTCTTAACTATTGAGCCTAGGTTCGATATTTCTTGCCAAGGTGGTCGACGGTTTTCTTCTTTCCATTTTCGGATTTTCTGTATAACTGGATCTCTCTCTTGTTCTTCCCTGATCTTGGTAGGCGTCCAGTCGTCGTGGACCACCGTCGTTCTTAGCACTGCTGCTTCCTTGGATTCCGTTTTGTTGCAGTGAGAACACTCTGCTGGGCATGGCCTTCTGGAAAGAGAGTCGGCGTTTCGGTGGCTAACTCCGGCCCGGTGCTCAATCTTAAAATCATATTCTTGGAGTCGTTCGATCCACCTGGCTATCTGACCCTCTGGATTCTTAAACTGCATCAACCACTTAAGGGCGGCATGGTCGGTTCGGATTAAAAACTTCCTTCCATAGAGGTATTGATAGAAGTGCTCTACTGATTTCACTACTGCCAGAAGTTCTCTTCTCGTGACGCAATAATTTCGCTCAGGTTTTGAGAGAACTTTACTAAAATATCCAAGGACTCTTTCCTGCCCTCCTTGAATCTGAGACAGCACTCCTCCAATTCCCACATTACTTGCATCTGTATCTAAGATGAACTCTCCTTCTGGCAGTGGATACCCTAAAATTGGTGCTGTGATTAAATGCTTTTTTAAGGTTTCAAAGGCATTGTGACAGTCTACATCCCAGCGGTATTCTCTTGCTTCCTCTGTAAGTCGCGTTAATGGTTTAGCGATATCTGCAAACTTCTTAATAAACCTCCGGTAGTAAGTACACAGTCCCAGAAAACTTCTCACTTGATGTTTGTCAGTTGGTTTTGGCCATTCCTTAATAGAATCGATTTTTCCCTTATCCACGGCCACTCCTTCTTTACTGACTATATGACCCAGATAATTGACTTTACCTTGAAATAGCTGGCACTTCTTGGGGTTTAACATCAATTGGGCAGCTTTAAGTCGATTAAAAACATTTTCTAAATTCTTCAGATGGTCTTCAAATGTCTCCCCAAGACGATTATGTCGTCTAGATAAACTAGGCATGTTTTCCAAGATAACCCTCTCAACACATTTTCCATAAGCCTCTCAAATGTCGCAGGAGCGTTACAAAGTCCAAATGGCATAACGTTGAATTGCCATAATCCAGATCCTGTGGTGAAGGCTGTCTTTTCTTTATCTACCGGGTCCATTTCTACCTGCCAGTATCCAGACTTCAAATCCAAAGTAGAAAATAATTTACTTCCAGCCAATGTGTCTAATGTGTCATCAATCCGAGGCAGAGGATAACTATCTTTCTTGGTAACGTTGTTCAGCAAACGGTAATCCACACAGAACCTCGTTGTTCCGTCTTTCTTCTTAACCAGGACTACCGGAGAGACCCATGGGCTCGTAGAAGGTTCTATCACCCCGTCTTTCTTCATTTCCTGAACAATCGTTTCAGCTTCCTCTCTTTTCGCCTGTGGTAATCGTCGAGCTGTTTGACGAATTGGCTTAGCATTACCAGTATCAATTCTATGCTTAACAACGGTAGTTCTTCCCGTCTTTCTAGAAGAAATTCCCTTAATTTCCTTTTCTCAATCTGATTCAGAGACTGTCCAGCAACTGCAACCATTTGATCAAATTTGTCGTTGGAATTATCAGACGTTGTCGTCTGACGGATTATGGATGTCACAGGTACACAAGTTCCTACTTTTGTCTCTTTCTTGATGGTCACTGGGTAGTTATTGACATTGATAGTCTAACAGGAATTTCTTTAGCCGAGGTCACCAATTCCTTTCCAATTATGATTCCACGGCCAACTTCGTCGTCATGGTTCCAAGGCTCCATCATAACAGGTGTCCCTTCGTCCACAATTCCCTGTAGCCGCGCTACTATTATCGTTTCACTTCTCGCAGGCACGACTGTATCTTCTTTAACGGCTGCTTGCATAGTGTTGTCATCATGTGGATGGAGAAATACCTCCTCGTTACCAACTTTGATTACCTTATTCTTAAAATCCAATTGGAATCCATGCGTGTTCATTACGTCCATTCCTAATATAACATTCCTCTTCGATGTCAGCAACTATAACAGTATGGACGAACTTTTCTGCTCCAATTCCTAATTGTACCTGGATTTCTCCATGAATGTT